ACATAATTCTAAAAATAAAAGATAAGTTGACAATACCTGAAATCTTGTTGTCCAGACTGCAGGAGAACTTAGGGGTCGCTGCTAGAGTGGCTGTCAGTCCAGCCATCTGGCAGAGCCAGGCTGGCTTGTGGTTTGTAGATTTTTTGAAGATACATTGTAATCCAGCAGAAGTTATCCGCCAGGGGAGACGAACCGGCTCACCTACAGATCCAGGTACTTGTATTCTAGATTTATTAATATTTGGGAGCCGGTAAGTTTTCAAAGATGGATTCAGAAGTGCCGGAGAAGCTATTCTAGTAGAACCAAGAATATCAGATTCCATAATTTCGTCAAATTTACTAGCACTATTGAAAGTACTGCCAGGCCAGAGATTGGAACTAGACGGTAATTGTTGAGAAATTGGTGACCTATGGACGCCTAATTGGGCTTTGACGGGAAGCCGATGTAGAGCATTTGACCAATCAGCAAGGGAGATAGCCAGACCAGTGTCAAAAAAGAGTTGATGGACGGACCTCGAAGAGAATAAAAGTGAGGTCGGGGAATTAGATGCTGAAGAGGAAGATGCTAAAGCTGATGATGGGGAGACACTGGATTGTAGCGGAGGGGTCAAAAGCAATTCCGATGTTTGGTTAAGCAGCACTAACTCGGGAAGATTGACTTCAAGGAGCCCCCTTGGACAAGCAAAAAGTGGAATGGGACATACACCGGGCTCAGATGACAGAGAATTTGGCTCAATAAAGATGCGGATAGGTCGAAGTAACACCTATTTGATAAAAATAGCAAGATAACAGTTAGTGATGAAAATAGCGAAACAAGATAAGTATCAAGAGATCCATGAGAAAATCCAATGAACAACTAACATATAAGTAATTTTATATGCTACGATTTGGTATACTTGTGTTCTAAGATTTACAATAAATTGTAAAACTAAATTTTTCTACGTAAGAGCAATGTGAAATAAGCGGCAGAGATTAATTAATAAAAATAGCCGGTTAATCATCATAGTGACCTATATACTTCCTGCTCGCTTAGTTCTGGCTTTGTAGAATGCCCAAGACGAGTTTGTCACTAATAAAGCATACCACTGCTCAATAAACAACAACCACCATTAGATGGTAGAGCTAGTCCCTCACTCCACAATAGCAAGAGTCTGCAGTAAAAAAGTAAGGAAGTTTTGCTGCAAAATTTTCAACAGACCTGTGCCATGCTAGCAGGATTCACTATTTAAAACTTGGCATTGTATTAAAGCTTTAGCATAACAAGTACAAAAATATGAGAAAAAAAATTGATTTTCAGAGTCAACCAAGATACTCCCAGATTAATGTTTAGTAGAAATCAATGTCTAAGCCAACGCATATTGCAAACAAAGTAAAAAAATGATTAAAAAATAAGTGATTTTTAAAGTTGACCTAGATTCTTTCCGTTTGAAAATTATAAGGAATCGGGAAGATAATTTTGACAAAATATATGGTAAAATACATGCTGTTAATTTATAGCTCCAGACTATTATAGTTATAAGGCTTTTAAACTCAGCAAAATTCACTTTAGCGACCAAAAGAGTGATAAAAAAGTGAGGATAACGCCTAAAAATAAAAATAAGCGCGCAGGTAAAAGAAATAGAAAAAATAAAGCTTCAGAAACTTATATAAATCTTTGAACACAACATCG